ATACGAAACTTACTTGTTGTGATTTGGTATGATACAAGTAGAAATTGATTATTCAAGATGAAGGGGAAAGTTGTTGTGTGTTTGTCGAAGAAAGCCATCAAAAAGTTACCAAGCAAGGCAAGAGGGAAAGAAGCTTCCGAAGTATCTTCTGTCGAGCACTTTATTTTGAAGTTGGGGATAAGTTTTGGCAACTGTTGGAGGACAAAGGGACTATTAATTCATTTCAGATTTTGTTGGGAGTACCCGAGGCAGAAAAGGAGACAGAGGGGATGATAGCTCTTGAGTTTATTATGCGGATACACATAGAGCGTGGGCTCTACTCGTATGCATTTCCAGCTCATGATTGTTACGCTTTTACTAAGAATGGTGGGGGTTTTGATACTTGGGTTGAAGAGGTGCTAACCGATTCTTCTTTCAAGGAGATTTTAAAGAGCGCAAGCATGAATGGTGCCATAGTGGCAAGTACAGGGTTGAATGTGAGAAGGGAACCATCATGGTTGAGTGTGACATTTTCCCATTGGAATTCTAGTTCTCACAATTTTGTTGCTTGGTAGGGGGAATTGACACCTACGTTGGAGGATGTTTGTGCTTTGACTGGTTTGCCTCTACTTGGTATAGCGAATTCATTTGCTAATACGTCTATTCCAAGTCATTTAAAGATTATATTGATCCTGAAAGCCTCAATTTCGGAGACGTGATTCTTATGGAGCGGCTATGATAAGGAGGACAGTATCTTGGGCCGCAGCGTCGAGAGCATTATAAGAATACTTTTGGGAGGTGGCTACAATATTGGTATCGGGACTTGAATCCATCTCCGAAGGGAGGAACCAAGATAAGGAAAGATGGGGTAAATGGGCCCGGATATGAGAAGTATAAGCATAGTTCTACTTACCTTGTTGCTTTCCTTTCATATTGGTTGAGTCGGTATATCTTGGAGGGGTTGCCCAAGGATAGAATAGACTTGTCCGTGTTTGATATTGTTGTTTATCTTGTAACTGGTCTTTCGGTTGCACTTGGGCCACTGTTTTTGGAGACTCTGTACAGGCAGCTTCATATGTATCAAGTTAGAACAAAGAAGTTGAAGGGTCGGTATGATGTTATTAGCTATACATCGACTTCCTTCCTTCAAGTGCTCTTATATGAGCGGTTTTCTAGGCTTAGACAGACGGATTTTGAGCCCAAAGAGAGGCAAGAGCGCCGAGCTACTAGGTGATACAAGACATGCATTCGAGGGCCGTTGATGGATGTCTTTGATGATGAGAGTGAGTTTGTAGCTCGTCCGTATATTCCACCTGTTGTCAAGGTAGTTCCTTTTTGAATGTATGACTCAGAAGATTCTGAGGTGTTTCTTGATGGTCGATTGAGTAATATCGAGACGATGACGGCTTGTAGCTTCTTTTCATGTTCCTTGCCCTACTTTGTGGGAGGTGTTTATAGCTCTATATCCTATAATCCCACGAGAGTGGCTCGTCAATTCGGATTTGATCAGAGGGTCCTTGGTCCTGGCGTAATCCTTTCTGTAGCCAATGCTTTTGAGCAGTTCTTCTATCAAACTCATCGTCCGAGGCTCCAGAAGTGTGGCAAGTTTATTCAAGCGAGAGCCGATCGTGTGAGTGGGGTGACAGCTGGTTGGCAACATTACTGGAGGGAGACTTTTGCCGCATTTCGAGAGTTTCTCGAAGGTGATATTGGGGACTTAGAGGTTGTATATATCTGGTCGGATAACGAACTATGACAACCGCGCTTAACAGACAGGACCAAGGTGGCTAGGGGTGAGTTATCTCGATTTGCGCACTTAGAGTTACTTTCTGATGTGTTGAGTCAGGCGAAGGTGGTTGCTGCAGACGGTTTTCAAGGGGAAGTGGGTACAGCTAAGTGGTGCTTGAGCCTGCTTAGAGATGAGCCTTCCTAGAGAATGAAGGTTAGCTTTACTCTATTTTTCATGATTTTCTTTCTGGTTATGTTTTCTTTATGTGCTTCTAAGTTGAACACTTTGTTTCTTCAGGTACAGAGGTCAGTCATCCTTCATGATATTTCTATTGCACCTAGGGCAACAGGTGTGCCTTCTGAAGAGGAGAACTATGCTGATGATTTGCTTCCATGTCGTCGGTTGTGGGGACAAAGTAAGGCTAATGGTTTTAGTGATTCCGAAAGTGATGGTGATGGTGATGATAAGGATAACTTAGAGGCTAATTTGAATGCGAGAGATGATGATGTTGCTAGGGTTGCATTCGAGTAGGCAGATGTTCTTATTGATAGGATGAGATCTTAGGTTGTTGCGCCATTTGTTGAGAATAAAGTGACTTTTGCACCTCTTTTGTTGCAGTTAGGTCACCTGGTGGCATATTTAGTTGGGCTTGGAAAGGTCGATGTTGATGACTCGACTAGTCGGTTGCCTTTGTTTGATGTTCAGTCCTACCTGTCTTTTAGTGGAGTCCCCACCATCTCTTTGTTTGGTGGGAGTAGTAGCTTGTTATCAGTTGATGATTGTCCTAGTTTACCTTCAGTTGGTGCTTAGGTTAGCCTACCTTTAGTGGATATTTAGCCTGGTACTTTACCTGCTTTGTCTGGAGTTGCTACCATTTTGCCACTTCATGAGAGTGACAGTTGTGTTCAAGATAAGACTATTATTCCTAGTATTGGCTGTGGCGGTCAAGTGAGCTTACCTTCCGTGGATGGTGAGTTTACTATGACCTGTCTTGATGATGGTTGCATATCCTTGGCAGGACTTAATAGCAGGGAGCGGGTTCTCGATCCCAAGGTACTATTTGTTGAAGGAGCAAGGTGAGTATTTGCCTAGGCTGAACTTTATTTTTGATCAAAGGCCAAGCACTTTCATACGTTTGGAAGCTGTGTTCTTACGACACTATTTGTTGGAGACATTCTGCGATATGCTCAGAGGTTTTCATGGCCTTACTCCGGAGACTTTTATTGACACGTTTCAGTCATTTCGAGTTGTTGTGGCTGAGTTTCAGCGGCATAAGTTTGAGGTGAGCTAGCTGAGAGAGAGTTTGTCTCGCATTGTAGCTCAAGCAAAGAATTGCCATCTCGAGGCTGAGCTAGCGGAAATGAATAGGGCTTTGATGGAGTCGGCGTCTTTTAGAGAGAAGACCATGGTGGAGTTAGAGCGGTTAACTAAGGTGTTAGGGGATGTGGACTTGGCGATTTGGAGTTTGAGGCAGAAGAGAGTCGTTGTAGAGGCTCAACTTGTCAGTGTGGATGGGGAGGTTTTTGACTTAGAGAGCCAAATAGGTCCAAGTTAGGTGAGCTGAAGAGTTTCTTGTGCTAGAGAGTTAAGGGTTCATGCGATGAAGAGTTGAGCTAACATGTTTGTGATGAAAAACCCTCAAGTACTATATATACATTATTATTATTATTATTATTATTCTTTTGATGATTGTTAGTAGTTATATAAAGTGTAAGAGAATGGAAATAACAAATCCTTTTTTATTTATTGTAAGTATGCCGATGCCTTACATCACCATTTTGATTACATCAGTAATAGGAAATTTCTCAGGGGTGATTCCTCACTTTCATCCTAAAGAAAATAAGCCTTTAGCCATTTGGCATTGATAGGGCTCAAGAGAGCTAGTGAGTTTGGTTCAGAAATTCTATAATAACCATTCTCGTTAACTGCTCTTACTATGTAAGGTCCTTGCTATTTGGGGGTGAACTTGTGGGCAGAGGTTCCCCTCATGACATGAGGTGCAATACGAAGTACCAAGTCACCTTCTTGGAATCATCTGGGGCGTACCAAAGTGTCATAGGCTTGAGCTATGCGACTCTGGTAAACTTTGAGGTTAGCCTGGGCCTTATCCCTTATTTCATCAAGGATCTCCAATTCTAAGGGTCTGGAGTCTAGAGTAGCTCCACTTTGGAAGGCCATGCAAGTTAAGGGTATGGCAATTTCCACCAGAAGAATTGCTTCTGTGTTGTATACCGACGAGAACGGGGTCATTTGAGTTGGCATTTTTTTGGATGTTCTGTAAGCCCAGAGCGTCATTGGGAGCATGTGTGCCCAATCTCTTTGATAATCCTTGAGAGTCCTTGAAAGGGTTCTAGGGAATGTTTTGTTGGTTGCTTCAGCTTGCCCATTCCCTTGGAGACAGTAAGGCATTGTGTGATGTCGTAGGAGACCAAGAGTTGTTCGACTTGGCGGTTGACAAAAGGGGTCCCATTATTTGAAAGGATTACCCTAGGTATACCAAAACGACATATGATGAATTCTCAGATGAAATTGGAGACAACGGCTCCTGTTGCCTTTTTTAGAGGATGGCTTCTACCTATTTAGTGTAGATCTCTGTAGCCGTCATAACCCATATGTGTCCCCTTGATGGCAGGGAGATGGGGCCAATAAGATCCATAGCCCACGTGTGGAAAGGCCATGCTGAGCTCGAACTATGCAGATCGATGGTGAGTGCATGAATGAGATTTTCATGGAGTTGGCAAGGTTTGCAACGTTTAGCATACATTTTGGCGTCTGCCTCCATGGTAGGCCAATAATAACCTATATGTAAAAGATGTTGGAATAGCTTGGCTCCACCTTGGTGCTCCTATCCTTAAGCAAGTTCCAAAAACTTATGGGTTTTTGCTCTTGTTAAGCAACGTAATGGCTTCCCATCGAAGCTATACCTAAAAAGTTGCCCTTCTTGCAAAAAGAATTTTGGAGCTCTCTTCCTGATTATTGCGGCTGCGGAGCGGTCCGATGGAAATGATTCTTCTTCAAGGTAATCTATATATACCTGACGCCAGTCGAAGGTGATTTTTGTGAATTCAGCCTTTGGAGGGAACTCTTGACATTTGGTGCACTTTCCTTGAAGGTCATTCAGTTCCTTGGCCATGGTAGGCCAATAATATCCTTATCATTGTGGCCTCCTGTACAAGCTTACATCTCCTGTTTTACAAGAGCAGTTGTGAACCTCTTCTAACTTGGACTTGGCTTTAATAAGGTCGATGCATCGTGCCAATAAACCACTAGGCCCTCTGTATTAAAGGACTCCTTAGTAAATTCTGAAGTGTTTGGTCTCGCTCAAAGGTAATTTACCTGAAAGGGCATGGAGCTTGTCGATGATCGGGGCTCTCCAGTCGATGGGTTCTTTTTTAGGGAAGATAGTAGTTACTGAGCACAGCACGGAGCATTTCAGGGCTTCTATCTTGGTTGATTCTTCTGAGAATTCTACCTTAGAGGCCAAGGTAGCGAGGGCGTCCGGGTGTCGATTGTTGAAGCGAAGAGCGTGTTCTATCCTTACCATGTCGAATTTGTCTGTCAACCTTTGGACGATGGTTCTATATAAAGCTAGAGGAGGCTCTTTGATAGCATAGTCTCTATTGGTCTCTTTGACTACCAGACTAGAGTCGCCTTTGATACATAAGAAACTTACTCCTAGATGGAGTGCCGCCATAATCCCTAGTACCAAGGCTTCATACTCTATCTCATTGTTAGAGCATCTAAAATCCAGTTTATATGACAAATTGACTTCGGTTTGGTTTAGGGAAGTAAGGACTATTCCAATTACTCCCCCTTTGGAAGTGGATGATCCATCGAAGCTCAAACTCCATTCTCCTTCAGTGTTTACTTCAGCGGCTTGGAACTCATCTCCTAGCAATTTATCCGAGGATAGCTCATGTTCTCCGTTCGGGAAGTGAGCCAAGAGGTCGGCTAGCACTTGACTCTTAATGGCCTTGGGGGCTTTATAGGTGATATCATATTCTACTAACAAGAGAAGCTGGCGAGCTAGCCTGTCGAACAGAGCTAATCTAGTGAGGAGGAATCGGATGGGATCACTCCTAGTCATGAGATGGATGGGATAAGGAAGGAGATAATGTCGGAGCTTTTTGGAGGCGAAGACTAGGGCGTGGCAATGGCGCTCGATAGGGGAGTATCGGACTTCAGCCCCTTGGATAACTTTGCTTATGTAGTATATAGGTCGTTCGAGTCCGTCAATTTCCTGGGCGAGCAAAGCTTCGATTGACTTCGGCGTGGAAATGATGTAGAAGAGTAAAGGCCTCGCTGGTTAAGGAGGAGTCATAGAGAGAGGGAAGGTTAAAGTTAACTTCACCCCTTCGAACGTTTGTTGGTGCTCTTTATTGAACGTGAACCTGACATCCTTCTTTAACAATGAGTTGAAGGGTTGTGTTATTTCAGCCATAGCAAGGATAAACCATCTCAGATAAGATGCCCGACCAAGGAAGGTTCTAAGCTTGTCTAGATTTGTTGGTTGTGGCATATTTCGGATGACAGCAACCTTTGTTGGGTCGGGGTCTATCCTGTAGAGGTGAATAATGCAGCCAAGGAACTTAATGGCGGTGACTCCGAATGCGCACTTTAGTGGGTTCATTCGAAGTCTATATTTCTTGCAACGTTCAAAAACTCTTTACAGGTCTTTGAGGTGGCTGGTTTCTTATTTGGATTTTATCACCAAATTATCAATTTAACATTCTAAGGTTTTGTGCAACATATCGTGAAAGATGGCTGTCATAGCTCTTTGGTATGTTGCTCCTGCATTTTTTAATCCAAAAGACATTATGGTATAGAAAAAGTTACCTATGGGAGTGCGAAATGCCATCTTAGAGGCGTTGTTTGGAGCCATCTTGATCTGGTTGTAGCCACTAAAACCATCCATGAATGAGAACATATGGTGCCCAGCTGCTGAATCAATCAAGGTGTCTATGTTTAGGAGTGGGAACTCATCTTTGGGGCAAGATTTGTTTAGGTCTCTAAAGTCAACGCACACTCTAATTTGTCAATTCTTTTTTATCACTGGGATGATACTAGAGAGCCATGTGGGGTGCTGGATAGGTTTGATGAATCCTACTCCAAGAAGCTTCACCATTTCATCTTTGATGTTGAGCTCTACCTCAGGCTTATAAAATCTTACACCTTGCTTGATTGGGTGAGCCAAGGGGATGACGTTCAAACAGTGCATGGTAACGTCTTTGTCCAGGCCTGGCATTTCTTCTTATGTCCATGCGAAAACGTCTGAATATTTCTTGATTAACTTGACAAGGGGCCCTTTCTATTCTTCTGGCAAATCTTTGCAAATGAAGATAGGATGCCTGAGTTTTTCTTTGAGGGCTATGTCGATTTCTTCCAGTTCTTGCTTTTGGGGTTGAGGGCTGTCTTGTAAGCGCTCTGGAGTAGGCCTAACCTCTTGTAACCCATCTTTCTTTGGGATGGCAATCGAGTTGGCAGGGGCTTGGTCAGGGGATAAAGTGGCTGCCTTAGTAAGGGACTGAACATCTGAGCCTTCAACTCCATCCAAGTGACTTGTTGAAGGACCATTGGATTTGTCAAAATGTTTTTCTGTTTTTGAAATAACCATGGTTTTGTTTTCCTTTCTGTTTCTCTTGTTTTTGCTTTTTTTTATTCTTTGCCCTTGGAGGGCGCTAGGCCAATGCAAACAGAGTGTAGCAAAGGTGATCTTTTTCATTTGGTTCATGACAAGCAGTTGCCACTACATATGGCTGGGGGTTGGTATTGGTGGCGGTTGCCAACCCAGGGACCGTCATAAACGGTATACCACTCTGCCATCCTCTGTTTGAAGCCTAGTCATTTTGGGGAGTTTTTTTAAAGGCTCTGACTTGGCGAACGTCTCTCTGCGAGGTGGTGATGCATATTCTTCAGAGACGTCATCCTAGTTTGGTACAGGAGTTCCTCGAAGTGGCAATGGGGTTTCATCCTCGTCAATATGATTGTAAAACACTGCATCCGCCATGTGAGATTCATCTACCCGAAATGGTTTTTGAGAGCCAATTATCGCCACTACCTCATTGTTATAAATTGCTTAACACATTGATGGTAGGTGGAGGAGATCGCGGCATATCTGTGGAGCCAAGTTCTCCCTAAGAGGGCTTGATAAGTCATCTTTGCTTCTATGACATGGAACTTAGTGGTGGAGCGGATTGGTCCTACTACTAAGTCTAACTGGACATGCCCTATGGTTTTGATTTTTTGGTTTCCAAAATCAGTGATGGAAATGGGTTGTTTGACTAGGTGTTTTTGTGAGATCCCGGCTACCTGGAAAGTGGAATAGGGCATTACATTGAGCGAAGCCCCTCCATCCATGAATCTTCTTTGAAACTCCATCCCATTGATGAATATTGGGACGTAGAGGGAACAGTTATATGGGAACGATACTTGTTTATCTATCTCGGTAAAGGTTATTGCCAAGAAGTTATCTTGGAACACTTTTCTAATCGATTTGCTTACACTCATACATGCCTCACCATTTTGCTTTGCTTTAGACAAGCAGAATTGGTCAAAGAACCACTTGAACTTTGTCGATTTCTTAAGTGTTATCGCACACCTGGTCTCAAAGTTTAAACAAGTGGGAGCTACGAGCTCATTAAGCTCACACACCATTGGTTCTTCCATCTTGTCATAATGGGAAAGCATCATGACCGTCTTGTCGTTGTCTTTGTGACGGGGGAGAGGATCTTTCAAGGTATCCTCTATATGGCAACGAGGAAGCTTCAAAGTGTCGTCAGCCATCATCTTTCGAACTAGGGATCTGAGTGCCCAACATTTAGTGGTAGGATGTTTGACAGAACAGTGGTATATGCAATAGTCTACCCGTGCTTGATCCTTTTTTGTGACAGGTCACCTTGGTTCAGGGAGATGAACTTTTTCATCTTCTACCCAGGCATTAAGGAGTGCTTGTGCCTCGTCCATCGAGACGAGCAATGATAGGGAAACTTGATCAAATTTTCTCTTTTTTGCTTGGAGACTTGTTCTCCCTCCAGAGGAACCTTCTGCTACATATACGGCGTGGTTGCGTCAGTTAGGCCTCCATGAGGAATGTGGAGGTGCTGTTGCCTTCCATGAATGAGGTTGTGGAGCTTCCCTTCGTATCCCTGATCTTACTGTTTCTTTGATGTTTCGTGCTGCAGCGTATAAGGCAGAAAAGTCGAGGAAGTGAAGGTTGACCAATTGGAGCTTGTAAGTCGTGAGCATCCTTTCGATGCATATTGACACTAGTTGATGTTCTTCTATCGGGTCTTGAATGTCTATTACTTTTTTCCTGAAGCGGCGAACATAAACAAGGATGTTCTTCCCATGTCGTTGTGTTTTCCTCATAAGATAAAGGGTTGTTAGCCTTTCTTCGACGTAAAAGAACTTGATATAGAATTTTTTCACCAAGTCCTCCCACGAAGAGATAGAGCCAGCAGCAAGGTTGGCATACCATGAGAATACCCAATCTGTGAGGGACTTGGAGAACTCTCTCATGCAGAGGTTTTGGTCTTCTCGATAGGCATGAAAGGCATTGAGAAAGCGCAAAACGTGTTCCCTAGCATTCCTTTTTTCGTCCGTCAAAACAATCAAACTTTGGTACAGTGTACTCTGCCGAATATGGGAGACTTGCAATATGAATAAGGTAAGGGGGACGGAGATTCAATTCTAGAGAGGTAGGGATGTGACCTTTGTTTATTTGAAGTAGGTTGTGTATGTGTTTTTTCACTACATCCAATGTTAGGGGTTGAACTGAAGGAACCTGGTCTGGTAGGGGAGTCGGAGAGCCAGTTGAAGCTACTGCGGTGGGAGTTCCGCCAACCAAATCGACTTATGGCGAGGGTGTTTGGTTTGAAGCCGATAGAAGGTGCGAAGCGGCTATCTGTCCTCCTGCTTGGTTTTGCAAGTTGTTTCGAGGAACGGGGTTAGCCTTTAAACCATTCTAAGCTGATGGCAGAATGCCGTTCTGTGATGATGAAAGGGGGTGAGACGATGATGGAAGAGTGGGTGCCCTTTGTAAGGCCAGTAAGGCATCCATCAAGAGTTGTTTGTTCTATTGGAGAGAGGTGACGCTCTCAGTCAATGCACGGAGTTGTTCTGCTATGGCCGGTTGAGAGGATTGTTCCTCCGAAAAGCCATTGGGGTTGTGTTTTGAGGTCTCCACCAGAGTCTCCCTACTGCTACCATGGAATGTCGTTGTACCGATTTTGGTGTTCTTTTTGGGTTCCATGTGAAATGGGCACCACTCTTCCCCAGTGGAGTAAAATGTGGATAGCAGAGATTAAAGGCGATCGGTCGTTGACCTCTGGGAAGATAGTAGGCACTTTAATGGCCTGAGATCACCGGAGGTGGAAGAGGAGAAGACCAAGGCAAGCTTAGAGAGGAAATGGTTGGTAGTGAGAGACCTTGAACACTTAATGTATGTTATGTGAATTCTTGTTGCTCTTGTTGTTGTTATTATTACTGTACTTATGATGTCGTTATATAGATTCTAAGAGTATCAGAGCCCAAGCAACCTCAAGACAAGTGGCGAGTTCTCCTCGACTCGACAAGAGGGTGATATCAGCCCTACTAGCTGTGTCTTATGATTCAGGTCCTTGGAAATGTTGCATCATAGGAGCTACAGTTGTAGGTATGATATCTTAAGAGGCGTATCATATGTGCATCAGATGTAAGTGTAAGGTCAACGTCTCTTTCTCTAAGCCAGGTCCAAGGGGAGCTGTCACTGCAGGAAGACAGCTACACGACCTTGACAATCCCGAGGTCTTAGCCTCTAATCCACAATCCTCCAATGATCCCAAGCGGGAGTGCCTAGGTCCTACTCCCAACCTAGGCAGCTAGGAGGGTGAGTGCATGGGTGAGCCAAAGGCTCATCCTGAGCAGCTAAGTAAACATAGGTGAGCCAAGAGTCTGACTATGTTACTATGTAGCTGGGGTGAGAATATATTTCTTGAGTTATAAGGGGCCATGGAGAGCTCTAGATGAGCTGACTCTATCAAAGTGAGCTGTGGCCTTACTTTCATACTTGGTAGTGTGTATGCACCTGCTTGGGCTATTCATACAACC